CAAGTGGCTTATTTGAGTAAGCAGAGATGTTGTCCTGCAAAGCATCTCCTGAGGAACACACCTATATGAATTTGACTGTTAACATCGCAGTCTGTGAGAATTGGGTGCTCTCTAATAAATTCATGAAAGGCCCTGGAGTATGACGTATACGCTCCACCCGCGGGGAAGCCTTGCGGCAGCCCAGTATCGGTCAAGAATTTGTGTGAAACTGGTTTCGCAGAAAACTTGTAGTTCAAGGCATAGTCCACTATTCAAGTTGTGATCTAGTGTAGCATAAAACTCTAAGTGGAAGTTCAACTTCACAGTCTCCACTAAGCACTGGTATATAAACAATGTTTTGTATGAGATGTGCCAATGAGACTTTGTGGGGGATTGTTGGAATTTTGCTAGTAGGCCTTTGGCCCAAAGCACAACTAAAATTCTGGAATTCTCTTGGCCCATTCATGCACACATGTGAGTGGATTGAGTGAGACTAAAGTTTAGTCCCATCCCGGAAGTTGAGAGAGAGTTGCACCTCTTTATAAGGTGAGCTCTTCTACCACTTGTATGAGCATGAGAAGAGAAGACCTACACGCGCGCTCCTCCTCCACGCCTCGTCACGCCACGCCGCGCCGCGGGTTGCGGGATTGAGCCGAGCCGAGGACAGAGCTATGCACATTGTCTATATTTTTGCTGCTCGGGAAAAATTAATGAGTTAATAATTAACGGACGCGTTAATTACTGAACCGTTTCTGATTCTTTTGGATCGTGACGACTCGGACGTGGGGTTTACTCCTACGACCTACCCGGCCCGCACTATATAGTCAGGCAGACATCTACCCTCCGCCGCTTCGTATGGTTTCTCACCACCGTTCCAGATCATTGCGCCGCCAAGAAAGTCTTCTCCATCCCTCGTTTCGGCTTGCACCGGGAGAAGGGACAGCAGGCCTCGGGAACCCGCCTCTCGTGATCCTGTATGGGAGAGGGGCGATCAGTTTTTGGGGAGCACACTCGCGCGACTGCTAGCAGCGACGACTTCGTGAACGACGGCTTCTTCCCCGACCTCGGCAACCTCATCCTCGACGACATGGGCGACAACGTCAACGCTGGCGGTGCTGCTCCCGCTGCACCGTATGTGATTCTATCCTTCCTGTTCGAGATCGTGGTAGAATTCATGTTTCTAGTATGTGCCCTAGATGTGATCTGTTCATCTACTATGCTAGTTCGCATGATTAGTTTAATCTCTGCTATTGATATCATGATTTATCTTTTATTCATTCGAATTAAATCTCGTAGTAATTTGCTCATATTTCCAACAAAGCATCCACATGAAACTATTTGTTGCTAAGATGTTTGGACATAATCCAGTTCAAAGAATACCAAAAGGCCGAAACGAAGCACACTAGAGCTTGGAACCGGGGTTGTTGTGGGGTTAAATTCCCACAATGATTCTAGGTTTCAGTGTATCTACTCTCTACAACTTAGAGAGAAACGTATATTTGTTTGTGTTAAGAAACTATAGTAAAATTGCATCGCACATATAGGTACTTGTTAATACTCCCTCCGTCCCAAAATATAAGAACGTTTTTTACATTAGCATAGTATAAAAAACGTTCTTATATTTTGGGACGGAGGAAGTACTTACCCATCTATATTTTCATAAAACAATATGATCAATTGCAACCTGCACGAAAATGAGAACCTGAAATTTATGTTTTCAAGCTTCAATTGTAGGGCGAAGTTGAAGGGGCTCTGGTTACATGTTATCTCAAGCTCTTGAAGCTAATGCCTTCTCAATTCCTCAAAGGAAAAAAAAGGGAATGAGGCACTGTCCTTTTAGCTTGTACTATATATAAGATGCACCAGCATCCTCGGTCCAGCTTGCAGGTTTGGCAACTAGTCAGTAGCTACTAATGGCATGAGCACCTTCTCTGATTCTCACAAAGATTTGTCTGGGGGCAAATGTTCAGGTAAACAAGTCAACAACCAGCATTCTGCTCTGGCTCCCATGTTATTTTCCTTTTGCTTTTGCAGTAGGTGAATGGGAACATCCGGATTTTCCTATGATTGTAACGACCAATAAGTATAGAAGTGATGGGTGGAGAAAATAAGGGTATGCGACTGATTGATTTCCACGTGAAGTCTCGGACAGCATGGCAAACCATCCGCATGGGAATCTAGCCACCCACGATTCATCTGTAAAAAATTCCAAGTTGAAGTATATCATGCGCACTTAGCAAGCCCAGAATTATTCATGCCGTCAATTGCAGTCTGTCACTCCCCACGAAAATGAAACAAAATTCCAGTTTATCACATCGCAAAACATTCCCCTGGCCCGTTTGAAATGCCATATTGCTCTGGGCAAGATTAATAAACCCAAACTGTGACAGATAAGTTCGTCAGTAAGTTGGCATTGCTAAAAATGACAAGAGTGTAGGCACAATAGGCCCCTCAATATTTTTATTTTCAACCATGCCACATAGGAGAAGCTTTATTGAAGGTGCCAGAAGCATCCGTTTAAAAAAGCTTATCTCTCAAATGGATGTATCTAGCACTAACTTGATGTTAGATACATTCATTTGAGAGACAAATTTTTTCGGACGAAGAAAGTATGAAGCAATTCGTGAAGCGGAGACAAGGATACTCGAGAGCGCCGGTGAAAAATCCACCAAGTGGAGCTTGACGTAACTCCAGTGTCAAGGGCAGTAGCCAGTAGCGATTAGAGCAGCGGCATAACCGATGATGAGATCTCTCCCATTCCATCGATCCTTTTCCTCATTTCCAACGGATATGAACTGGCCACGAAGGGGTTGACCCGACGATCAAATCCAGTGGCTAAGTCAGAATCAATCATATTCTCGCACAGGATAGAAACCAAATGGAACCAGACACTCCAACCGTTGGAACACTATGGTCAGCAGCGGCCGATCGAGTGATTGACCCGCCCACCTTACCGAACCTGACAACGCAGTCGTCTTCCCCCCTGGCTAGCTACTAGGCCTCCCGCTCCCAGATCATTCTGGTTTGGTAACCTTTTTGTTAACAGTATTTTAACGATAACATAAGCTTTCAGGAATGGCGCTTGGGACTTCCGTCGGTGGCGTGGCATAACAAAACTGTCCTGCTGAACCGCAGCGTAGCGCCTTCCGAAGATATTTTTAGTACTCTCCCTCTCTCTCTAAAATTGTACTAAAGCAACAACAAGTAGCTAGGATGGTTTTTTTTTTGCGGAAAAGCTAGGAGGGTATTAGAAAGCTAGAAAATAATATAAATAATATGCGGCATTTGCCGGTTCACGAAATGCTAAAATATCCGATGATACGGTGTCGAATGTCGAATTTTGGAATGGGAGACGTCTGAAACATAGTTCGTCATGTCATACCTGCGCGGAGCTCCGGGTTTTTGACAATCAAGTTTCATATATATCAATGAGTTTGTTAGAGTAGCCAAACATGATTTTATTCTATTCTGACCATTTTTCTTCTTCTGATATACGGAGAATATAAGTAGATTCTACATGTTCCACCTATCCACACAAGGGTCCCAAGACATCATCCACGCTCTGCTCGTGGCCGGATCATCATGCCCAACATCCCTGTCCGCTGCTGTAGCAAGTGCGCAATCAGCCCAGTCTATTTTCTGTGAGTTGCATTATGTGCGGTGCAGTTGCTTGCTATCCGGTTGCTCGACATGATGATTAACCAAGATAAAAGGGACGTTCCTTGCAGGAGCCTCCGACTGAAGACGCCACGTTTCTTAACCTGCCAACCAACACAAGCAGTGACCAATTAGCCAAGTCCCTATATCACCTTCGTCCTTCGTATTTATTGCGGCTGCCATGCACGCTGAACCAAGGCCACATGCAGCTGACGGTGACTGCGCGTGAACGATCACACATCTGTTCAAATGGTTCAATTCCATTGTTTTACCTTTCAATCATGCTCGGGCTTGGTTCAAAAATGTCCACGGTCAAAGTTAGACAAATTTAGGACCTGAATATCCGTCGAACGTCGGATTTTCAAGCATGACAAATCGATCGTTTCTTATGACAAATTATGTTTGCTGAGGATGACAAGTTTAGTTGGTGAATATGGCAAATTTGTCTCGTTCATTTCTTGCTAGAAAATTGCTCTACTTACAAACTAAATTTGCCATTCTCACGTCAATATAAATTGCCATAGAAAAATTCGATTTGGCTTGCCTAAAAGTCTGACGTAAGATTATTAGCATTTCCTTAATTTCTTTAATGAAAATGGCACATGGGAGGAAAAAAAGTGAGACCAGGCTAAAAAGGAGCCGTTCCATTCAAAGAAGAATTAACCACGCAGCATCCTCGATCGAGCCTACACCTGAAGGTATGCAACCAATTATTGCCTACACATGAAAAAAGGAACCATGGTTATAAAAAAAAAGTCAGATTGGATTCGTTAGCAAAGGCCTATCCTGACATTAGTGATCGATGATCGCTCATCACTCGCCCTCAAAGTGTTTTCTCTCAACTCTCAAGGGAGGAAAATAACCCGGGCGGCAAGTGAGCAGGCACTATCATTTGTCCGGAATTGTATTGTAGCCATCGCCATGCGGAGAGACGAAACCAAAAGGGAGTCTACCCGCGCTTTTCCCCAGTGGGCAGTGGAACATATCAAACCGACCTGCTGCTGCTGTTAAGTAGGAGTAGATGGTGGTAGGTAGTTTTCCCCGGATGATAAACAAGCCGGGAAGCAAGCAACCCACGATGCCCACATGCACCATGATAAGCGACTCGTCTCCCATTTTGTTTCACACTCAGCCATTATCTTCTCCAGGAGTTGGCAGACACTAGACCAGTGGCAAAGCTAAGCTGGTGGGAATAGTTGGCAGAGCTCTGGTGAAATGCTGCGATGAAGTAGGCGGCTAAGCTGGAGGGACTAGTGTGGCTGACAGAGCAAATTGCTCACTTGCTTGGCTGGCTGGCCGCTCTACCATGTCCATGTCCGTCCGGCTCCTACTCCGCTCCACCGCTCCTCCCCCGCACGCGCGCGATGCGGCCGCCTCGGCTCTTCCTCGCCTTGCTCGTGGTGCCGCTGCTGCTGCTGCTGCTGCGGCCGGGCGCGGCGTCCACGCTCTCCACGTTCGCCATGGCCAAGGCCGAGGAGACGACCATAGTGTGCGGGCTGCTGCCGTCCGCGGCGTCGCCGGCGCTGCTTGACCTCAACTGCACGGCGGCCGGCGGCGACCACCAGCGCCAGGAGACGTACCCCTCCACGCACCCCTTCTCCGCGCTGGCCGGCGGGGAGGACTTCCTCTGCGCCGTCGGCCCCTCCTCCGCGCGCGCCGACGCCGTCGACATGCGCTGGTGGGACCTGTCCAGGCACGCCGGCAGGTCCAAGCGGGTCTACCTCGGCCCGCCGCTCCGGGCGCTCGCCTCCAGCGGCTACCGCGTCTGCGGGGTGCTCTCCAGCGGCGAGCTCCATTGCTGGCGCTGGCGCGGGCTGGCCATCCCCACCGGGCTCCGCTTCGTCGCCGTCGCCGTCGGGAAGGGCTTCGTGTGCGGCATCGTCGCGGGCCCGCCCACGGCCACGCCTATCAGGTGCTTCGGGAACAAGACGGAGGATATCGAGGCCGTCACCGCCGCGCCGCGGGGCGGGAGCTACGACGTGGTGGTCGCGTGCGGCCGGCACGCGTGCGCGCTCTCCACGGGCGGTGGGCTCTCGTGCTGGGGCAGCGGCGCGCCGTCGTTGGACGGTGAGAACGCCACCGCCGGATACGCTGCGCTCGCGCTGGGGGAGAGCGGCGTCTGCGGGCTGCGGACCAACGGTACCATCCGCTGCTTCGGCGACGGCGTCGCTGCGCCGCCGGAGCCCCTCGCCGGTCTGCAGTACATCGACGTCCAGGCGCAGGGCTGCGCGTTCTGCGGCGTCCTCATGGCGAACTACTCCCTGGTGTGCTGGGGCGGCCACGAGTTCAACGCCACCAACCGCCTCGTATTCGACCGCATCCTGCCGGGCCCGTGCGTGCCCATGTCCTCGTGCCAATGCGGCGTCCTGCCGGGCTCGGCCAACCTCTGCGCCGCCGGCCGGTGCATCTGCGTGGACTGCGCTTTCGAGCTCAACGTCGCCGTCCCCAAGGCAGCGAACCCTGGAAAGGCCGGCAGCGGCAAGAGGAGAAAGATCATTATTTGGGCTGCCGTCGCGGCGGCTGCGTTGCTTGTGCTCGTGGTGGCATTGCAGTTCGCGCTGCTCCTATGGTGCCGCCGCCGTCGTCGCCGCAACAACAGCCAGGATGAGCTTGCCGCGATGCAGTCCCTGATGCCGCCACGGCTTGGGTCCAGCAGGAGCAAGGGGCCCGGCAGCGTGGTGGAGCATTTCACGCTGGACACCCTACGCGCGGCGACGGAGGGGTTCGACGACAGCCGCCGGATCGGGTCCGGGAGCTTCGGGTCGGTGTACCGCGGCACGCTCCCGGACGGGCGGGAGGTGGCGATCAAACGGGCCGAGGATCACGCCAAGTCGTCGAGCTCGGCGGCGCGGCCGGCGCGGCGGCGCGACCGCGAGACAGCCTTCAACTCGGAGCTGATTGCTCTGGCGCGCGCCAACCACAAGAACATCGTGTGCCTGCTGGGGTGCTGCGCCGAGTCCGGCGAGCGCGTGCTGGTGTACGAGTTCATGATGAACGGCACCCTCCACGACCAGCTCCACGACCGCAGCCCCATGGCGGCGCCGGTGCTGTCGTGGCGCGGCCGGCTGACCATCGCGCTGGGCGCCGCGCGCGGCATCGAGTACATGCACGTCTACGCCGTGCCGCCCATCATCCACCGCGACATCAAGTCCGCCAACATCCTCATGGACGACTCGTGGACGGCCAAGATCGCCGACTTCGGGCTGTCCTCCGTCCTGGACCCCGCCGGCGACTGCGAGGACAACCCGCAGCAGCAGGAGCAGCCGCAGCAGCAGCGGACGATCTACACCGGCGGCACGGTGGGGTACATGGACCCGGAGTACTACCGGCTGCAGCACCTGACGGACAAGAGCGACGTGTACAGCTTCGGCGTGGTGCTCCTGGAGCTCATGTCCGGCTGCCGCGTCGTGCAGCGGTACGCCGAGAGCGTGACGCCCAAGAACGTGGTGGACTTCACGGTGCCGCACATCCTCGCCGACGACGTGGCGCGCGTGCTCGACCCGCGCCTCCCCACGCCGACGCCGCACGAGGCCGAGGCGCTAGCCTACGTCGGCTACCTCGCCGCCGACTGCGTGGGCCCCGTCGGCTGCGAGCGCCCGTCCATGACCGAGGTGGTGGACGCCCTGGAGCGCGCGCTCGCGGCCTGCTCGACGGCGCCGGTCTCCCGCTCCGGGACCGCCCGCCGCGTGCTGTCCCGCTCCGGCACGGACCAGTTTGACCTCACTGACACCGACTAGCGAGGCCGGCCGCCATTGACCGCCACGCAACCCACGCTGCTGATGCGATGTCTGGATCCGCATCGCGTCAGCAGCCACTGGAGCCGAGGGAGGGGCCCAGGAAGGAAGCCACGCGAGTCGCCATTGGAACACACACAGTCGGGACGGAAAGCAATGCGAGAGGACGGAATCAGAAACGCGGAGAAGAAGCCAAAGCTGCGAGGATTCCTCCGCGAATTGACGGCGAATTTTCGTGGCGAGCTGCTGATCTTGGCGATCGTGCTCCGGCTAGTCAAAATCAAGGAGCGGCGACCGCTCGTTAACAACTCCACAGCGACGTCCCACCGGTTTCCGTTCGTCCTGCGTGCGTGCGTGCGGGTGAACCGGGGCAAAATGAGATGAGAAGACACGGCACCATGGAAAAAAGGAGGCCATTCTTTCTTACTTTTTTCTTTGTTTATTTTCCTTGCGGCGTGCACGCCTGCATTTGGTGTTTACTCTTTGGTTGTTTCATTGGGCGTGGGGATTCTTTATTGATGTGTAATTGCGTATAGATTTTTCTTTCCGAGGATAATTGTGTATACACCATACAAGATCAAAAGATTATTACAAAGGGTGGATTTTTTCTTTTCTTTTTGTTCATGCTTCTGTTTTGCTTAATAATTGCTCGTCCGCTGCAACGGGATATAGATATTGCAAAATTTGTGCAAATTTTCAAGTTTCGCACGCGGCAGAGCGGGAGTTGGGAACATGTCTGATGCCGTGTCGGCACACGATACAAACGTAATGCGAAACAATTGAGTACATCCTTGAAAGGTCTAGCTGCTGATTTTTATATGGTCAAAAGGGAAAAAGGAAAGAAGAAGAAATCCCTTTTTCTTTTTCTTGCTAGTGCTCATCTTCGCATGCTGCTCACTTTCTAGTGATTCTCCCTTTCACAGATCACTTTGCCTGCCTCCTCCGGATGCAAGGGGAGTAGCTAAACTCCTAGTGAGCTCACTGCTCATTTCTGGTAAATGGGGGGCTAAATTTCGTGTTTTGACCCTTTTCTGAAACTTATTTTGAGATTTGATCCTAGTTTGATTTTTTTTTAATCTGACTCTTTTGCTATCGGCAGGGACCATAGCGGTGGGGTATAACAGCCTACCGCCAAGGTCCTTGACGGTAGGGTTACATGCCCTACCGTAAAAAAACTTCTAAGTATTGAACACAGTGCGTGCTCGTGCCTACCGCCAAGCACCTTGGCGGTAGGGTTGTGCAGGCTACCGCCAACCCTGTTGACGGTAGCGATGTTTCCTACCGCCAAAGTCCCTGGCGGTAAGCTGTTAGACCCTATCGCCATGAACTCTGGCGGTAGCAAAAGGGTCAGATCTCAAATTTTTTTCAAACTAGGATCAAATGTCGAATAGATTTTAGAAAAGGGTCAAAACACAAAAATTTGCCTAAATGGGGGAGCAATGTATCGACCTTGTTTTGACGGTGGACATGGTATTAGTTTAGGCTCTGTTTTGGATAGAGATGAAGAGCCTAAAATTTTGTTGCGTCTTTTAGGATCATCCATGCCATCAAGGTGCAGGAGCAAAGCAACGGTTTTGTCAGAATTGTGCCTGTCGGAAGAGTTCTAGTTTTTTCTCTCGAATATGCACAAGCAAGTGTATCGTATATTGAAAAAGAAAGAACGAGAGTGCTCAACCACAATGAACTGTTAGTACAATCACATGTTATACACTAAACAATTCATCTAACCACCTAATCCCAATTTGGACTCTAACCCAAGTCACTCCACTCCTGAAGCCGCCCACAAAATGCCTCGCCATCCGTGCACGTACGACCTGCTGCCGGAAGTGGAACCCATGGAGGAGGAGGTGACGGAGCCGGAGGTGGAGGCAGAGGAGGAGGCGGCAGAGCCGGTTGCGGGCTTCGCCATGGCGGACACGCAGGCGGAGTACAAGGCCGCCTGAGCAATGGAGATGGCGAAGCAGATCGTCATCCTGGAGTCCATTCAGGATGAGAACTACGCCGAGGCCAACCGGTAAGAACAAGCGACGACAGAGACGTTGTTCGCCAAACTGGACATAGAGGCAGAGGGGGAGGAGTCGGAGCCTCCGCAAGCGTAAGAGCTGCCGTACTTGCCCGTCTACTGATGCCGGGCACGGAGATTGTCAACATATCTGGTGACGAGTAGTTTAGCTACGTAAGTAGTACACATGTTTTTATTTGTATGAGTAGTATGGATCTGAGGTATGAAGTTAAAGATTTATGGTTGGGACATACGTTTTTAATGTGCTACTCGGTCACTGTTCGTGGACCCGTTCGGACACGTTCGTCGACATTTCAGAGCCGGATTTTGGTGTTTACGGTTGCTGTGAAGTACTTGGAATGCATTTCTGTGCGAAGTGAGCCCCATCGGACGAGAGTGTTAGGCCTTGCATAATGTTAGGTGCTTAAGAAAGTGCTTAGAAAAATAAATCAGACTTTTTTTGAAGCATCGATGTCTATTTCTACAGAAGTGACGCCTAATTAAGCGTCTACCCTGTACAAATACGAAATTGCTTTGCATACGATCATTGTACATACGATCTGATGTGTCTTTACTGGACTCGATGCTGCATTCCTTTTGTTTTCCCGATGGACCTGGTTGATTGGATGAGAGCGCATGTAACAACAATCATATGTGTGTTCGGACGTGTATATGTCGTACGTATAGCAAGGCTCGTACAAATAAGCATTGATGTTTAATAAAAATATATTTTATTTCTCTAAACACCTCTTCTAAGTATTTTGCATTGTACAAAACCTCATTGGCATTGGGCATCCACTCCGCCCGCTTGCATGTCGTCTTATTTTAAATAGCTGCTACGAATCGAATTCTTCCCTTTACTACGTATCACTACTAGCTAAGCAAGTTTATGCCCCTACCACTTGTTTGAATTTTCTAAAAAAAAATCGCAGGGGAGCTTGGAATTTCACTTTAAAATTTAAAGGTTGGTTCCGTAGAATTGGTAGATCGGCTTGACATGGTTTGTGTCCACGGGAAATAATTTCTGATCGTTGCTCCCTCCCTTGCCTCATCGTCCGGGGCACATGCACCGATGCGCGCACCGAACTTCCCCGAAGCGTTATCTTTTTCATGTGCGTGACCACGACAACGACGTAACCGGCGTATCGTACATGGCAGAGCAGGAATGCATACGTACGTGGAGTTCCTCAAGTATACCAGCTCCACTAAAAAAGAAGAAGTGTATGACAGTATGAGCTCTCTCCAGTCCAATTAATCATCAAGGGCCCGTTTGTCTGGACTAAACAATCCTCCCCAGCTGCTTGATAAATGATAATCATGCTTACAACCAGACAAACGGGTTGTTTTTTTCCCCTCTCTCTTTCTTTTTTTGATTGAGGGATGAGACAAGCGGGTGGTTAGTTAGCCAAGCGGCCGCCCCCATTACATTCCATGACACCAGCGCCAACGAATGGCACCAAGCAGCAGCGACACGGTTTGACCGCCCTTTTCCCCGTAGCGGAAAGAGGCGATGAGAATGAGACGACGACGACGTCGACCGGACCAGGAGTCCGTCCGTGGCTAGCCACCTGCTCCTCCACGCCACGCGCGCATGCATGCGCCGGCCGAGCACGCAATGATCGCGGGGTAGCCGCCGCCGGCCAGCTGAGGCTGATGGTGCGAGCCGGCGTCCTCTTCTAGAGCTGATGAGTGCGCGTGATCTGGTCGTCGACGCATTGCATTCGCATTCGCGCCCGTCTCGTCGTCGCCGGTGGCGGCAGCGGCAGCGGGCGACCGGGCGGACAACGCTTCTCGGCTTGTTGGGTGACCACTTTTCCGAATCGGACGAAAAAGGTTGCGTGGATTGAACATGGGCTCGTACCGGTGTAACGCTTTTTCAGACGGTGGATGCGTATCCTTTTCCTGGATTATCATGCTGTCCTCCCCCCGATATTCGTGTGTCTTTTAGCTTTCGTCTTCTCGCTTTGCTTTGCTTGCTTGCAGACCCAGAAGGCGACGGGTCAACGTCTAGGTACCATACTACATGGACCGGTCTGCTTGTACAAGGTGGTCAATCACGATGTGATTTTTTGCCTTGTTTCGTCCAATCGCCTTGTTCAAGTTTCACTCTGGTTATTATGTTATTTCCTGTGAAAACACACCTTTGCTCTTTTCAATTCCATTCGTCAAGCTTTATCTATTTGAGAAAATTGTTACTGTTCATCAAGCTGACTATGATAAAGTTAGGGGCCTCATCGTCCCAGATGCATGAAAAATCAGATGAAAAACTATGCTTAGCTAAGCCATGAGCCACTATATTGGCCTCAACGACTACGTGACATAGGATTACCCTATCGCAACCCCTACGGAGGAGTGAAAAAGGAAGAAGCTTGTCATTGACACCAGAGCCGGGCCGGCAAAATCCGGAGCCCTGTGCGAAATTCAAAATTGGGGCCCTATCTTACTAGAAAAAATTAAGCAGATACCAATTGAAGATTATGAGTCAATGTTTGGCAATTAGACGAACCGTCTAACTCACCTAGTCTTGTGTCCCGTCCGGTTAAACTGCTATGTTCTGATCTTCAACTGAGGAGGCAAGCAGTGGCGGAAAGCAAACCCTCGGCCATATTTTTTCCTTTAACATAGATAAATTTTGGCAAGTTGTTACTACCCAAAAATACCTCATAACATTCCCAAAAAATACCCATTCTAAAACATACAAAATAAAGCTCAGTTGCTCAATAAATCTAGAGTTTAAACTCAATTGGTAATGATCCAAAAAGTAGATAAACATGGAAAATTGCAAATAATAATAAAGGGATGAAAAGAGTACCAAATCAATTGTTTGCTTCATCCATAGCTCCCATAACCAGATCAATAGTAGAAGAAGAACCAATACCTTCAAGGCATCAAAAGTATAATTTCATAAGAAAATGCATAATCATCAAGTGAAATAATTATCATTAGTATAAATTGAAATATTTACCATTCGGTTGATATAAAAACCATTTGCAAGACCTTT